CCTATCATGCCAATTATTGCTCATTTAAGAAATGGATGAATTAGCCAGGCCTGGTGACACAGGCGTGTAACCCTAGCACTCTGGTTGAGGCAATAGCATAAGTTCAAGCTCTGCCTGGGCAACTTAGTGACTTAGTACATCAATCAATTAATCAACTTAGTACAACCCTGTCTAGAAATTATAAACAAACAAATGCAACTTAGTGAATTAATATAACCCTGTCTCAAAATTATAAAAAAATAGGGGGCTGGGGATTTAGCTCAGCGGCAAAGCGCCTGCCTGGCAAGCGCAAGGTCGTGAGTTCGGTTCCCGGTACCAGAGAAAAACCAAAAAAATATATATATATATAAAAAAATAAAAAAGGCTGGGAGTATAGTTTAATCTGAAGGCTCTGAGTTCAATTCCCAGGACCACATACTCATGCAAAAAGATGAATTACGGATGAAATGAACAAAGGTCACACATGTAGTTCATGCATAGGAATATGGTAACAAAATTCAAAAGGATTTTCAAAGCAAAAATAGCTAAATTTTATATTTTGTCATTTTATTTTATTTTTATTTTACTGAGACAGGGTCTCGCTATACATTTCAGAATGACCTTGAGCTCACTATGTAGCCTGGGCTGACCTGGAACTCACAGCGATCCTCCTGACTCAGGTTTCTGAGTGCTGGGACCATAGGTGTGCGCCACCACACCCAGCTGGTAAAAATAGCTAAATTTTAAAAAGAGGCCATGGCATTCAGTAATTGGGCTGTAACCAGAATGTTGAAATACATATAGTGCAAACTGTACATATTTGCTTGGTTCAGTGTATAAAATGTAGAATTCAGTCATATGCTGATGAATTTAACAGTGATGTTTTTCACCTAAATACTTTTAGAGACTTATTCAATGTTCACTTGGGCCAAGATATTCATCCTATTTCATCCTCTGTGAAGTGACAAAATAGGTCTATTCACAGTTGAGTATTAGTAGTTGTTTAGAGATTTTAATACACATTTTCTCTCTCCCTCATTCTCTCTCTCTTCCCACTCCTACTCTCGCATTCATGCATATATATTTCAAACATTTACCAATACTTTTATTCACTTCTTTGGACTGAAATAACATTAAGAAATCTTGTCAATTAAAAGTATTTTTAAGGGGTTAGGGATGGAGCTCAGTGATAGAGCACTTGCCTAGCACATGTGCAAGGCCCTTGGTTCAATACCTGGTACTGAAAAAAAAAATTATGAAAAGCCAAATTTCCATTTGCCACCTAGAATTACATACAAAGATAGGGCACTGGAGTGGGGCTTAGCAAGTACTCCCCACATATTTAATCCTTATACTATCTCCGTTTCATGGGAAGTATCTGAAGCCCTAGTTTTGCCACTAACTGCCATAGAATATGGTCATTCACTTCCAACTACCAAAGTGTCTGGATTTGCTCTGAAGGGAGCATCAGAATCAACTGGGACACTATTTAAATAACAAGTTCTCTGGCCTCTCCACAGACCTGTGATATCAGAATCTCTAGGAGTGGACTCCAGGAATCTGTTCAACAAGTTCTCCGGGTGACTGGATGGTGAGCCAAGTTTTGGGGAATTGGTTCCTTACCACCCCGAGGGTGCTGCCAGTGGCAACACCCCAACATTCACCTGCATGCCTTCAGTTGGTAGTCTGAAAGACTGAGAACACTTCTAGAAGAAACTAAAGCACTAAGAATTCATAATTATTAAAAAATAAAATCTAACAGTGCCACAGTCAGTGAGGAGACCAAAAGACTGTCAAAATCCCAAGTGGATGGCAGCTACCAAAACAACCGGGCAAAAGTCTCTGTACGGCAGGTCCCATCCAAAACTCATGGTTAGCTAAAAAGACTATCCCGGTTCGGCTCAGGAAGAGTACATTTTTAAAGAGATCTCTTGCCCCAACTGAACCTCAGGCAGGACTGACTGCAGGGTTTTCCACTTCATCACAACAGGAAAGTGAGTGTCCTCCAGCAGGATCTCATTAATGCCTTGGTTTAAAATCAGCTTTTGCTTTGAGCCATTCTGTGGGTTTGCTTATAAGAACACAGTTCTGCAGTCCACCCAGTCTTCACTTCCCCTCACCTCTATAAGTGGCCCTGCCCCTTTCTGGTCCTTACAGCATATAGGCTGAAACACACCTGGCCAACAATTCCCCCAAACCCACCATTTGATACATATTATGTAGACTTGGTGATCATAAAACAGGGACAAGGCAGAGTTTACATATGCTTTCCAGTTTAGTTCCGGCATTCCCAGGGGGGTGGCAGACTTCACGCTCTCATAACCAGCTGGGAGCTGGGAGCAATCAGGCTCTTAATGGCCAAAACAGAAAGGGACTGCATCACTGAGCACCTCTTGACAGCCAAGGCCTTTCCTGCTGAATGATAATGACATGAAATGTACCCCCCTCTATGCATACGCGCACAGGACATGCACGCAGGCGCACACCTGCATGCATTCACCTAAAATGGAGCAGGTTTAGAAGCTTGAAATAGCTATCCAATTTAAGTTCGCTATGTCTTTGCAAAATCCTAATGGAGCTTTTACAGTGAAAGACTGAAAGGGTCTAGTGAGGGACAAAGTGGTGTGACAGAAAAAATATCAGATTGGAGCAAAAAACCTTGGATTTTACTTCTGATTCTCTCATTAATTATATAACATTAGGTGAGGCTCCTTGAACCTTATTTCTTCATTTGTTAATCAATGGAACAGGATAACCTAATTCCTCAGAGGACTTCCAACGCTCACATTATAGTGAAATGTTCACTGTGATGAGATTTATTCAGTTATGTTTGTCTAGCAACTAGACTGTGATCTTTTCAAGACTTAAGACCTATGTTTCAGGTAGTTTGGAATATCCAGCACCTAACAAAGTATGATGTGCAAAGCAGATGTTTAATAAATGTTTACTAAAGAAACCTTTATGTTGAGAACAGTGCACTTAATTCCTTACCAGCTCCCACCCTCATTTTTTTGGTGGGGGGGGGATAAAAGCTCTAGAGGGAGATACATATGTTCAAAATCAATTATGCTGCTGTCAAGAGACCAACATCGGAGGCAACCATGAAATACTCCTACACTTTGTCTCTAATATTAACTTTTTCCTGCTACTAAAGTCATTCCCAGCTGGGTGTGATGGTCTGTAATCCCAGCTACTTGAGAGGCTGAGGCAGGAGGATCACAAGTTTAGGGCATGCCTGGGCAATTTAGCAGGGTCCCATCTCATAATAAAAATGAAAAGGGTTGGAGATGTAGCTCAGTTGTACAACACTTGCCTAGAATGCTCAAGGCACTGGGCTCAATCCCCAGCACCACAAAAGGAAACAAAGGTGTTCCCACACCACCAGCACCCTTGTACCTGACACTCTGACACACAGTGGCTATCAATCAGTAATACTGAATGAACATTTGAAGGCATTTACTTTTCATTTTTCTAGTTCTGTGAAAATTATTTTTGCACATGGCCCCAGAATCTGGCCTCAAATTATGAATCAGTCAAGGGAATAATTAGCCAGTGAAGAACACCATCGTTTGATATGATGTTTCTGTTCATTTTACTATAAAATATTTTCTCAGCAAATGTGTTTTAAATGGCCAACATTGTGAATGGGGCAATTAGAGCAGCCCCATAAGTAGCCATGCCGAGGGTTGCATCATTTCTGTCTTCCTAGTTTAATTCACCAAAGAAACCAATTACCCCTATTATTTTGTACTTCCAGAGTTTAAAGACAAGGCTAAATGGTCCAATCTGTTCTCCACATTCTGGGTAAGCAATGGCTCAACATAGACAGCAGTTGCACTGTACTGAAGCTAAGTACAAGAATCAACCAGGCCAACCAGAACTGGTTTGAAACCTAGGTCCTCCCACATAACTGACTTTGAAATATTGGGCAAGGCACTTACCCTCTCTGTTTCATTTCATCCTGTGTAAAAGGGGGACATTATGATGAAAAGGAATCCATTATCATGGGTTCTATAAAATAGTATGATCCTGCCCAGCAGAGCACCCATGATGTAGTCGGAGCTCAATGATGGTAGTGTATTCTACTATTCTACCACCTTTGCCTACAAAGCTGACAACATTAAAAAATCAATCACTAGCTTAAGGGGATCTGGCTGGTAGTGTTGGCTGCTTACTCTGCCCTATATTGGAAGGATGCCTCCGGTGGTCCCTCAACAATGTCTGGCTGAAACTAGGAAAACCAGTGCCTCATTACAGAACTATTCTTCCACATCACAAATCCCATGAGCCTCAGACCAGTATAACCATGGCCACAAACATATATGTTAGGGAACACGGGTGTTTTGTTTTCTTATCTTCTCGTGAAGCTTTAGTTCATGAGTCTGGGTCTCTTGTGTTTAAAGTCACTACTCAGCGAGGTTATGTGATATACCTGACTAAGAGTACAGGAATGAAACTAGAATCAGAAAAAGTGGTGATAACCAAATTAAAAGGAGACCTGCTCAATTTCTTAATTGTGGCTCCTCCACTCGCTACATCTGGGTGCTTATAGCAAATAATATCACTAAGCTTCAGGATTCTTATTTATAAAATGAACATAATATCTCCCACTTCACATGACTGTCTCCAGGATTATGATAACTGGCAATAACGGTAATAATAGTTAACATTTATTGAAGACTTACAAGTGCCACACAGATCCTACGTGCCTTACCACATATCATTGCCTAGGAAGACGTTCTGTTTACACCTACTTCGTGTATAAGAAAAACAAGGTTCATGAAGTTACTATGGCTCCCTAGTGTCCACAGCAAGAAAGTAGGGGAAGCTAAAATTCAAAGCCTGGCTTTATGACTCTATAAACTGTCATTACTATGCATTGGCTAGCTCGGCGAAGTCATTCAGTCCATGTTATCCGAGCCTGCTCCCTATTTTACTCACTTCTCTTAATGAGAACCTGCTGCTGGGCGGGTATCCTACCCCAAGAAAGCCTAGTCTGAAAACTGTAGATTGGTACTCACGGTGGTAGTCAGCTTGCCTCCATTCTTCTGGACATACTGGATAGAATCATGGATTGTTGAAAAGAGGCCAAGCAGTACATTCTCCATGTCATAGATTCTGTACATGCCATTCACCAGTTCTTCGAGAGAAAGAATGTATTCTCGCCAGTACTTGTCAATCTCCACCACACCGGCCATACAGCCTTGCATGACTACATTGCAGTAGCCGCCACAAGGCTTCACCATCATCAGTCCCTGGCAGTAAGAGCAGTACCACATTCTGGTGAGCATCCGGCCACAGTCCTTACTGAACTTCAGGTGATCCGTTGTGTTGATCACTTCAATTCCAAGATTCAGGGCCTGAAGAAAGATGCGTGTGACCTGCAGTGACTTGGAGACCTGGGTCATGATAAGCTTAGGGAAATTCCCAAATAATTTCAGGTCACGTCTTGCTCCTCGGAGGCACTCATTGATGTCTAAGGTTGACTCAGGCAGGCCTGGGTTCATCAGCTGGGTATAGATGACTGGAAACAGGCTGTCAAACAATTCATTCACCATATCATCCACGTTGATATCAGAGCCCAAGATGTAGAGAGACACATCTGTGAAAAATTCACCCACAAAATCAAAGGCTTGTGGGGTGAGGCTTGGGTAGTTGTTTTTGAACATGGCATTGGTGTAGTTCTTGGCATGGCGAACAACAATTTCAAAGGCCTCTGTAAAAGAAGAGATAAATGCCCACAATTTAAACCATGAAAATCCCGGGTATAATTGAACTTGATATTTTCTCTATTGCTATGGTGATTAAAGTCCCATTTCCCTTAAATAATTGACTTACATTCATTTTTGGCATTGCCTATACTCCAGCAGTTGTTTGCTCCTATAAATCAATTTTCCTTTCTGAACATGAAGTGCAAACTCTGATGTGCACATAAATTCTTAAAAACCCAAATTATATTTCAAATGACAAATGCCAGGATTCAGTTAACATTTCAAGCTTTCATGAAACTATTGATTAAAAATTGGCTAAATGAGAAGTTATTTCTCTTTCTTTCATTGATTTATTCACATAAAAAGAAATTGTGTTTCAGGACATTTCATTTTTAGACAGAGATAAATATTTGACAACAAACCATATACTATATAAACTCACATAACAATGTAAGCCTGTTCAGCCCCAGAGGAGAAGCAAGTTATTAGTCAAGAATAAAAGCGATCACAAATTTAATCATTTTGGTAGATTTTCTCCAGATAACTTTAAAGGGAGCTGTCTGACAGATTGCCAGAGCTGGAAATGGAATTTATTCACTGAATGGGGATCTGGATGGAAAAAACAATCCATGCACTTATCTACAGATTTGATATTGAAAATAATTGCAAGTTGAACATCTGGAAGGATAACTGCTAAGCTTCCTTGGTAAGCTCAGCTTCCACATGGCCTAGAAGCCTTATCTACCCTACAGAGACCTCAAATTCATGATTATATCTGCTGCCCCAACGCCCTGGCATAAAGCCCAATTAGTGTCATTGGTTTGAGTGAGAAAATAGTAATGTCATCAACTCATTTTCTCCAATCTGAAATACTGTTGCCGCAAATTATGTCCTCAATAATCAGAGTTCCGCAGTTTTATGAAGGAAAAAAATAAAGCTGCAATAATAGCTTTTTCTCAAGAAGAGTTTAAAAATAAATAAAAATAACCAAGTTTCCTGAGATGTTTAAATATCACTTAGAACTTTCTTCCAATTTCTTCCCAAAAGTCAAGGTCCGTGATAAATGTACTCCAAATGATGCCAATTCATGAACCTTGAAAAATCAAATTATTACCACTTTCAGACTACTAGAGAGACAGTACTCCAGCAGTTCCTTGGGATCACTTAGTCCAACATTTCAGTCATCTGTGGCAGAATTGAGCTCTAGGTTATGCCACCACCATCTGCCCTAGATCTCTCACAAGGAAGAACACGCTCCCTAGATTCGCCCCTCAGGCTTATAACATGCCCGGCAAAGTTGAACAGATGCCAATGCAATTGTATGGAGCTTCCAAGCCCACTTGAGAAAATAACTTTAAAATAGAATCTAACCCTCTTCAAAGGGTTTTTGAGAATGTATGTGTTGGCTATCGAGCTGAGGGCAGCTGTGGTACAACCGTGACTGGGAGATACTACTTTGTACTGATTACTTCCATTTTGCACCTGAGTGACCCTGGAGAAGTTTTCTCTTCCCATCAATTACTGCCTGTTAATTTGTTTGTTTTGTTTTGTTTTGTTTAGAATATTAAGCATTTCCTACAATGTTTATCTGTGTGATAACAATCTTCCTGCTTGCACATGCTACTTGACTTTCAATCCTGGAATCAAAAAGTTAGATGAGGACAAAATATTTTCTAGCCCAATGCATAGGACCTGTCAATGAAATCTTTTAAGATTACTGGAAAGTGTGAGATGTAAAACTATTTCTTCATTTTTATTTCAGTGAGAAATTATGCACTACATATTAGGGTCTGTGCTAGGTCCTGGCTAGATGAAAAGAAGTGATACATCATCCTTGTCTCAAAAAGGTTCACAAGCTGTCTGATTTAGAGTTTATAAAACACTTCTGAGTATCTCACTACAGGTACTTTTTACAACAATATTTTGACTTTGATATTGTCACCGCTATTGAACATATGAAAAAAATGGAGTCTTAGCAGGGTGAAAGGACTTTCCCAGGGTCACATAGGTGCAAAATAAAAGTAATCAAATTAGTGTCTCTCAGTGACAATTACACTCCAGCTGCCCTCAGACCTTTAGTCAATACACCTATTCTCAGAAACCTTTGTACAGTTAAATTCTATTTTAAACTCATTTTCCAGTTGGCATCCCTCTCTAAATGGAAACATAGAAGAAGCAACTCTGGCCCAAAGAACAATAAAGCAGAATGGCACTTTCACCTTTGCCTTGGGGTACCATGAAGTAGGAGAAAGGAGAAGACTGTTACCCCTGGAGATCTCAATCACCTAAGCGGTAGAAAAATGAATTCTCTACAAGGCAAATTTAATCTTCAACATACAGTGCATTTGTTCTCTAATGCACAAGATATATGGCAGGGAAATCCCATAGATTCTACTGCCAATAACCTTCTTTTGAAGTTTCTGTTACTGGCACTGCTGGATCAATAGAAAAAGAAAATTACAAAAGATCATGAACTCTTCTGCAGAAAGAATAACAACAACATACACTGCAGGGGGAAAGGGCTGAGCACCCTTATTGAACCTTAAGCTCACATGTGCTTTCTGCTCCAATTTCCACAGATAAAAATCCACTTTCGAACATCTCTGAGTTTTGCCCACTCCCCTTACTTTTATATGATCAGACAATAGACCAAACTGTAAGTGTTCAAAGACTCCTGGTGGACTTATAGGAGCCAGCACTAGGTGAAAAGGGATGCCTGGTTTTCTAGGCAACTTGAGGTTTTCCTGAAATAAACCCAAGGGCTAAAAGAACTGCAAGGAAGTTCAGTCCATTGATTGTTTTGCTCAGACAATAATGTACACTTTACCTACAGGAGGTTTTCCTCTGACTCATTCTTGGGAAGAAGTCAGGAGCTATATCCAGGAAACATTGGAGCAAACAATGTAAAATCAGAGCTATCGTGAAAAATTTGGCACTGAACATAAAGTGCTCTTTTTAAAAAAAAACAATATATACAAAGATACATGATACAGACAAATAGATGTAATAAAGTGAGTTATTACACATTCTATTACAGCAAGGTTTCTAGATTTCTAGATACCCCACCACCACCATCCTTATCAGGATATTTGAACACGTTCTAGTGTTTTCAATGATCTTCTTAAATTATGGTGTCCTCAAAAGGACACAATCCTCAAGATGTGGTTTGATAGGTGAAGTGTACAATAGGGCTATTACCTCTCTTTAAATGGTGCAATAATTTCACTAGCCTCCAGGACATACAGCCTATCACTGTAGCATAACGACTATCCTTAGTATTTGGTGCTGATGTTCCTGCTTTTGGACCAGGCAGAAGGAAATGTGTTTTTATGAGACTTTTCAGTAGTAGGCTGGGTATTTTTTTGAAAGGAGAGTATACTTGAGGTTGGAAGAAGAAAAGAATAAGTGAACCATTGAATCCCTTTCAAGCCCTGCAGAATAAGGCACTCCTTATAAACGCAGGGGTTTTTTAAAGGAAAATTTTCCAGCACTGTAAGAATGACAAATCCTTTATAAGATCTTTTTATGTTACTAGGATAAATACCACATAATGGGTTGAACTAAAAAAGAAGCACAGATAGATTAATGGAAAAGGAAAACTAATATTTATGCATGCTCGAATCTGTGGTAAACTTTCTCACATCAGTCCTCTCGTTCAACTTTGACATAACCATATGTGTTTGAAATCATTTTTATTTTTTCTGAGAAACCGAGATTGAGAAATTAAATAACTCATACATACAAGGTAACATCTTTATTTAAATGTCAAGGAATGCAGTTGCATGTAGGAACACTTAAATAATTGATGAATTTCTAGAGACTGAATGTGTATTAGTTTGACAACAAACTCTTGGGGCCATAGATTTGTGGACCTCCTACACTTTCGGGGGTTTTACAACAAACTTCTCACAGTGAATAACTAAGAAAATAAGAAAGGAGAAAAGGAATAATTTTTAAATATACCATGAGCATTTCCCATAATAAATGCTTGCTCTTAGTACACTATACAACTTTACCAAAGCTTGATATACTGGAAGGAGGAGCACATAGATAACTCGGCCCTTCTAGATTTCCTGTCATACCTGAAGGAGAATAAAAGGAGCAAGAAAAACAGCTGAAAGCCACAGCCTAAGGATTTAGGTCCAGTGAAATATTGAGGTTAGTAATAAGACTGTAGACAATTTCCACCTCTCCCTATACCTTAGCACTTGATCAATTAGTCAAAGTACAGTAAGTAGTAGCACATTACCACTGAGAGTGCTAAAAGGCACAGACCCCACTTAACAAAGAGGACTTAGGGAAACCTAAAATCAGTAGGTAAGAAAAAACAAATAAAAAGAGCACTAGAGGAAAGTGAAATCTCTAGCACTTACAGCTACTGCAATCATTACACAGGTCAGACCTTAGCCAGATTAACATAAAACTTGATATTGAAAATCTAATTAATTCCAGTGCCTACTAGTTAATCTATCAGGTCTTTCTTTGAACCAGCAATTAAAAACCATGTTAAAACATAAGAAAAGCACAGTGTGAAAAGACAAAATAATTACCAATTTTCACATAAGGCACATATTTTGGAATTATCAAACAGGGAATTTAAAACCACTAAGATTAATATGGTAGGGCACTAGTGGCAGAAGAACACAGAGATGGAAATGCTCACAGATATCAAAAGGAAATTGTACAGATCAAATACTCTAACACTAGAAATACATTATACATTTTATGGGTTCATCAGTATACAACATAAAACTAAGGAAAGAATCAATGAGCTTGAAGATATATCAATGGAAACTTTCCAAACAGAAATGGGGAAAGAAAAGATCTCGGCTATCAAAATTATAAAACAATGATGAAAGCAATTAAAGAAGGCACACACACAATGGAACATCATCCCATGTTCATAGGTTAGAAAAATCAATACTTTTAAAATGCAACCCTAAGTGTGATATACAGACCTAATATAATGCCTATAAAATACCAAAGGCACTAGTCACAGAACTAG